ATGAATCATAATGTAAATATCTGATATGCAGGATGGTCTCAGGCGACCCCTGTGAAAGGGCCGTTCGACCGCCAAAGGGGTCGCGTGTTCTATGCCAGTGGTTCACAACCTTCTGGCCCTTTAAATACAGTCCCTCATGTTGTGACCCAACCATAAAATTATTTTCGTTGCTACTTCATAACTGTAATGTTACTACTGTTATGAATCATAATGTAAATATCTGATATGCAGGATGGTCTCAGGCGACCCCTGTGAAAGGGCCGTTCGACCGCCAAAGGGGTCGCGACCCACAGGTTGAGAACCGCTGTTCTATGCCATTGGCCAGAATCCTTTCCTGTAAATCTAAGTCCAAATGGTGAACTTGCCAGACAAGAGTCTATGCTTGCTGCTGCAGTCAACATCCAACCTTGCAGGGTAGTTCGCTACCTTTTCAGTGCTCTATGCCAGCTGATGTTGCTGACGTTTTCTAGCAATAGGGAGACCCTAGGTCTTGATTTGCCTAGGACAGTCCTGGTCTGTGCTCGTTGTCTTCAAATAATTATTAACATTGCACCCTTTCATTCTCAAAAGCGTCCCACTTTGGACAATGATTCGTGTTGAGGTAACTTGTTGCACAGGAGGCAGGGATTGCTGATGACACCAAGGCAAGTCAGAGCTGTGAGGTCGCCATCTGCTGCCCCTTCCCTTCCCGTGTAGGGCAGTGATCTCTGTCCCCACTTTCTAAGGAGCTCCCCTCTCCTAAAATGTACCAGGATATCTGGTCACCTCACTTATCCAAACAATAGCTGAGAATCAGAGAAAAAGCAAAAATATCTGTATAATAAGAATAAGTGGGTTCTGTAATAAAGTTCTTGCCCTTGATGATGGGAAAAATTCTAATTCAAAGCTTGTCTTCTCTTCTACTCACAATCCCTCAGAAGCCTGGGTATTTTAGTATTTCCTACAACACAGGTGCTTAAAAGGATAGGTTTGGAAAGAGAAAGAATGCTTAAGGCAAAGAAAGAATGCTTCAGGCACAAGCAAGAAGAGAGTGAGGGTGGTTTATAGGAGCAGCAGAAGACGGAAAGCTTAGAGACATGCAAGAACGGCCATTACAGGTACAAATGGCCCTGCCTACGGTGATGGACTCTGAGGGAATCAGGGCAGAGGACACTAATGGGGGCTCTCATGATGACCTTGCATGATCAAGGAAGTGTTTTGTTGCACTTGGCAGGCTGCATTTAAGAGGGTAGGGCAGTGTGAAGCATTTTAGATGAGATCACTGCCCAAATATTTCATATTACTTAAGGCAGACTTACAAGAGGTAGGTCTTCAGCAAGCTGAGCACCTTGATTACACAGAATGCCTTAACCTTCGGAGCATCCTGGGCAGGTCAGCACTTAATATATGAGAAAAGGCATCTCAGTCATCTTTTCTGCCCTCAATGACTGCAGATTCTTGTTGAGAATATAAGGTTTCAGCCTTCCTAGATGTCTTTGTATTTTAATAAAGGACTTTAAAAGACCAAATACCTTGCAATCCCAAGGGAGCCAAGTTCTAGTAATAGAATAATAGGCCCTGAGCATACGGGAAGACAGTTTTAGGGGACAGAGGATTTTTTTTCTTGAGGTTCCATGCAGAGAGTGTTAGCTTTTCTTCGTGTGAGGATAGTCCTATAAAAAGGGTGGCCTCCGCTGCTCATGTTCTGTGGAGTCACAAATTCCCACCTCTGAGGAACCCTCTGAACCTGAATCACGTCCTTAAGACAGAGCAGTGAGTCAGACAGGCTTATGGCTGAGCAGAAGGCCGAGGGGTCCTCAGAGCAGCTGCCGGTCCTACTCGCTACTAATCAGAAACAAAATTATGGATCATTTAAGCGACAAGTGGTCCTAAGCTCTCGGTCAAGACCATTGGGGTTCTGAGACTTCTGGCTGAACATCCTGCAGGACTCCGCTCATTAATTCCATGCACGGCACTGTTTAAACTGTAATGAAAACTCAATGCAAAAAATTAGGAGACTTGGAGCTTTTAATAGTTATTCCCAGAACACAGCCCTAAGACAGAGGATGAAGGCATTGGAAGCAGAGATGGATGAGGCCGTCTCCCCTGCACTGTTGCTCTTCTCATTGGTGCCCCTGCAGGCAGAGAACACTCAGGGTGTAATCTGGGGCATATGGGGTTGTGGAGCCCCTAGGATGGGTCACAGTTGGTTAGATGCATGGCCCAGCTCCTACAGGAGGTGAAAGGTACCATCCCCAGGAAGGTACCATCCCCAGGAAGAGCCCAGGCTGGGACTACAAGCCCTCAGGATGAGCACACCCAGGCACACATGCTTGTACATACACAAACGTGCATACACACACATGATGTTAGCAGAATGGGGCCTGCCTGGAGGCTGAAGTAAAGAGTTTTCCAGGGAAGGGGAATGCTCTTGGTTAAAGAGAGTTGAAAACAAAGACCCGGAGATAGGAGTCAGAGAAAAATAAAACCGGAAGCTTCGGTTTACGCCCCGAAGCTGAGGTGAAGGTACAGCCAGCAATCAAAGGGGCCCTGTCACCTGTCATATCCACCTGTCCTCCTCCAGGTGCGAGCCAGGACAGCCCTGCCCTCTCTGTGACTCATTTCCACATCATCTACACTTTCCAATAAGCTTGTACTTTATTAGATTGCTTCCTGGAAGAGCCCAATATTAAAAATCTCCGGTCAGTCAGAATCTTTATTCTGTTATTCACCACGCTGATTTTTCAAGCTCAGAACTAATAAAGCCGTGACGGTGAGGAACAGATATGGATTTCTCATTCCCACACACTCATATATAATAATAATAAAACTTTATTAAACAAGAGACATGTTGTTGCAGGGAATTTTTCTTTCTCTTCTTCAGTGCCCTGAGGCAAACATATACAATCTTATTAAATTCCTGGAAGAAATACGCCCGCCGTTCCCTGGACACAAATGCTGAGCGTCCATTCTCCTGGAGCAGGGAAATGAGACAGGCCCTTGACGGGAAGGTGTGTGAGCCACGGGTCCCCCCCGGGAAATCTAGGGAGGGAGTCTCATCAGGAGCCTCCTAAGGAATCCGTGTGGCGCCCACGGGGACCTCTGGAATGGATGCTCCTCAATGTCCCCGAGCAGGAAGACAGGGAGACAGGATGTGACAGCCGGTGGACTCAGCAGGGCACGCGGATCTCAGGGAGACTGACTCGGCGTCGTGCACCCTCTCACTTATCAGATCAGCTGTCACAGTGTCACGGCGCCCGTGTTGAAGTCATCCTGTGCTTAATCATGGCCTCAGAGCGCAAGAGTAGTGATCCTGGCAATTCCGAGAAGCTGTAAGGTGGTTTCTGTATGTGAAAAGGTATGTACGTATAGAAAAAAACGAGTCTATGCAGGGTTCGGTCCTAACCAAGGTTTCAGGCATCTCCTGGGGGGCTTGGAACATATTCCTCCTGGGTGAGGGGTTATGTGAAAAGGTATGTACATATAGAAAAAAAACAAGTCTATGCAGGGTTCAGTTCTAACCAAGGTTTCAGGCATCGCCTGGGGGGCTTGGAACATATTCCTCCTGGGTGAGGGGGACTAGTAGGTTTGGGAATATGTGCTTTAAGGAGGTAAAGTTAAATGCAGCCATAGGGTGTGGCTCTTATTGGATAGGATAGGGTTGGTGACCTTAGAAGAAGAAGAAACAACAGAGATCTCTCTCTATGAACACAGAGGAAGGGTCATATGTGCTCACAGTCAGAAGCACTGTAAACAACCAAGGAGAGAAGCCTTACGAGAAACCAGCCCTGCTGGCACCTTGAAGTTGGACGTCTACCCTCCAGACCTGCGAGAAAATAAGTTTCTGTCATCAGGCAACCCAGTCTGTGAAATTTTGTTATGGCGGCATGAGCTGCCTAATGCAGGAGCTGATAGCCTCAAACAGGGGGTGTGCAGAAGGAGAAAGGGCCGTGAGCAGGAAAACAGGCTCGGGTTCTTGCTCCCAGCTCCATATGGGTGAATAGTCTCCATCTGTGAGTCTCAGGAGAGTGGAACAGCCAGGCACTGATTCCTACGTTTGTCCATTTCTGAGGTCCTGAAAACAGGACAAGGACTCCCTCTCATTAGCTGGGGACTTTCCAGGAAAATGGGTAAAGGTTCAAATGACCTTGGATGGCCATTGCAAGTCATAAGCCTCTAACTGCAGGACCAACACCCGCAGAGGTTTATCATTGAAAATGTCTTCTAGGGATGTGTGCTTTGCTGAACTGTGTGATGGCGACTGGAATGACCTCTGAGGTCACTTCCATCCTGAGAGACAGGGCAGGCTGTAAGAATGTGCATCCTCAGAGATCTCAGGTGTCACTTCCTCCAGGAAGCCTCCCTGATTGTGCAGACAGCTGAAGTGCTCCCCAAGCCCTCGAAATTTCCTCTCTTCCTGTGCATAGAAATAGACTTTATTTTCCTACCTTCCCTTCATGGAAATAGTCCATGTGCCAATGGAATGTGGATGGGAGTGATGTATGCCACTTCCAAACTTGGCTCCTAACTCCTTTATGATTTCCTTGTCTGCCAGTGGGACAGGGAGAAACCCATGCTGAGTTTCTAGGAGATGTGGGATCCAGTTTATCTGAGAAGCCTGGGTCCCTTAATGACGATGTCGAGCAGAACCTCCCCTACCCCTACCCCCGCCGCCCCCAGCATTAGACTGTGACAAGGGGCAGAAATAAACCTGCACGGTGCTAAGCCACTGAGAGTTAGAAGTGGTTTGCTTACAGCAATTACTCTGTCCAGACTCACACACTGACTGATCCTCACGTTGGAAATAATAGTCTTTTGTTCTCTAATTGAACACACCTCCAGAGCGGGAGCTCCTGAACACCGGTGGGCACTTTTCTAATTTGGTGGAGCTATGGTTGCAAACCAGGGCCTGCCGGACTCCAGAGAGCATGCTCCTGGTTGGTTGGTTCTGTAACGCTCTCTGGGCTGCCGTGGTAACCATCGGGTGCCGTGGGGAGAAGACAAGAGAAAACCTAGCTCATCAGATTCCTGAGCTGGAGAAAATGTTTCAAACCATGCATTTTTGTTGCATCGTGAGAAAGGTGTCTGCACTTATCTCACCAGCAGGTACCAACTCCTCCCCGTGGGCGATCCTCCCACAAGGAAGGTAAGCGGCTTGCCAGCTGGATCTCGGCCCATCTCCTGGGGTAACCCTGGGGGCCACGGCGGCAAACTCAGAGATGAGGCTTTGGAGATGGCCTCTGTGGCACTTCCAACACCTGCTGGCTGTCCAGAGCTCAGCTGAGATCCCCAGGCCTGGTGTGGTGACAAGCTGGGCCTGCAACCCCAGGCCCGTGGTGGCAGAGAGGCCTGCGGGGCGGGGGCTGGGAGCCCAGGGCCCCTGAGGTGCCCTTCTTTTAATCGGGAGGTTCGCAAACAGGCAAACGCAGAGCATCTGCAATGATTTCCTTGCTCGCCTGCCTCCCCAGCCTGGGCCTTGGCAGGGCTCTGCTCGGTATAAATCACATTCCATCAGCGTAACTGGAGGGCTTCGGGGATCGCTTTGGAATACTAGGATGTTAATGCACCGGGTTTTGTTCCAAGCATCGAGCCGCCTCCTGGGATTCGGGAATCTGTCTTTTAAATCCAGCTAGCACTAATGAGCTAGTAAGGCTCCTGACCCCCTTCACTCCTCCCCCCCCCCCCCCCCCCCCAAGCTGCTCTGGGCGTGGGAGTCAGTCATATCTGACTGTACTGCAGCCAGCCATGGGCCTCTTATAGCAACTGGTTCCACCTGGAGACATTCCAGCTGCATGTTTTTCTGTCTAAATGGCTGAGTGCACCTTAAAGCGCTTTGCACATGCGGGCTCTGGGTAAGTGTTCGTGGTTATTTCGATGGCAATTGCACTGGTGTCCTATATCACCGCACCTGCGCGGGGCTGTCCTCTAATTCTGTCCCCAGGCAACATTATGCCAGGATGCCGAGGAGATGGTCCTTGAAGGGGAGGGCAGTCGGGGCAGATGCCTGACAGGCTCTTAAGTATCATGGAGCCCCACAGGCAGGCCTGTCTCTCAGTGCCCCTAACTCACTGGAAGAAGCCTCACATGCCACAAGCGATGTGTCAGGGCTGTGGCTTACCAGTGTTTACCAGCTTACTACTCTGCGCTTTTATTTTATACCCACTTTATCATGAGAAACCAGGGCAACAGAAAAGTCAGGGAACTTGTCCAAAGTCAGAGAGCTAGTGAGTGGTGGCGCCAGGATCTGAAGCCGAGAAGTCTGGGTCCAGGGACCACACCCTGGATCGCAGTGCCATTCTCTCCTCCGTCATTATTCCTGCCTCCGTGGCTGGGCTCAGATTGTTCATCCCATCAAGAATGTCTGTTCTCCTCTTCGTGCTTTTAAATTCCAGCTCACCTTTTCAGTTGACCTTGCAACCTCGTTCCCGCAAGAAGCCTTCCTGCGCTTGCCCCGGGGGACTGGCTCTGAACTCCAACAGCACAGCGGTTCAGAGCATGGCGCCCTGAGTTGAAGTGTATAGTCTGGTTCAAAACACAGCCCTGCCCCTCACTAGCTTTATGACCTTGAGCAAGTGACTTCACTTCCGTGAGGGAAGTTTTCGTAGCTGTAAAATGAAGAAAAATACGGCCCCCATCTCACAGACAATGATTGAATTACCATCTCTAAAAAAACTTAGAATGGAGCTTGACTAATGCTGTTTGCTATATGCACATGTTATTGTTATGACTATTTGCTATTATTGTGATTAGTACTAGTTTAAATTCTCCTCTCAGTTGCTATTGCTCCTGTCTGATCCTTATCTCCTGCAAGATTGCAGGGTTATCGACCAAGATTGGTTATGTATATGCTTTTAAAATTCCTTGCCACTTAGTAGACTGTATTTGCTAGTATTTAATACCAATAGTTAATTAATGAGTTGAAGGTACCCAATATTATACCACCAGGCACAAGGATTTTTTACAAAAAGGTCTTTTTCCCAGAGAAGTGCCTATACATATAAGTCACAGGTCCTTATCGATTTTGGAATGGTTCATCTCAGGGGAAATTGAATCTGTCATAGTTTAAAGAAAAGCCAGTCCGCAGTAAATTAACAGATGCATTCATTAACTGGGGCGGTCCAGTTAAAGCAGGGCACGCATGTCATGGGATCTGAGTATCAAGAGCGTCTGCAGAGCAGCATCAGCCCCCAAGAATTTGCAGCTCCTGATGTCATCTTCACTTCTGCTTTCTGGTCTTGTTTCAGGCGGCTGCGTATTTATGACAGAGATTCTGCAGATACATCACGCCAGGTAATTGAGAAACCAATTGAAGACCGATGTCTCATTATCCCTTGAGGAACATAGCAGAGAACCACTTATAAACCTTCTCTATTATTTGGTGTTGAGATCTTTACGTTCATTGACTTCAGAATACTTTTAAGGAATCATTCTGGAGACAGTAAGGCTCCAGGACTTACACGGAGTCAGGAAGCTTCAGAAAGACTCTAGGTGTGCAGTAGACTAGCTCTCTGCAAGACAGGTGCCTGCTGACCCCACCCACTGAGAGTAGGGACAAGAGTTTAACTCCAGGATGGCTGGCTCTGTGCAAGTGGGTGCGCTTAACTTAAAGGGCCAGGGCCTCCTGCAGTCTTCCTCTGGGCAAAGTCTCATAGTTGGTGATTGTTTTGGGAAGTTCACCTTTGGGAAGGAGGCAGGTGAGGAGTTCTGGGCTGCAGAACTTTTTATAACAGAAAGAACAGAACACAATGTGTTGATAAATATGCTCTCATTTCCCAGGAAGCTCTTCCTGGAGCGCACGCATCCTCTCCCATCCCCGAGGACATCAGTAGGACTTCAAATCGCCCTGGGAAGGAGCACGCAGCACCAGGAAGCAGAGGTGACCCCAGATGGTTTTACCCACTGTCCTCCCTTCCTCCCTGCTTTCATGGTGAACCCTGTGTAGCGTGGAGATTTTTTTTCTTCCTGCCTAGGGAAAACTTTGGGATGTGTTGATATGTCATCTCTTACTTTCTTGGCTGCCCTGAATGTACTATACGTTGAATAGCATACCACGGATGCTTGGCTTTTCTTTGGCCTTCTGGCTTGGGAGATGTGGAGGAAAGGAGATGTCTGGATAAGTTCAGGGAAAGGGAAGTTGTGAGTATAACCTCCCCCAGAGGTGGTTTAGGTAGCAAACCAATGTCCACCCTGTGGTTACTGCACTGGGTTTGTGTCGGTAACTTGTGAGTGGTTTCCCCAATGCTTCTAACGTGATATTCTCCCTAACTCTTTTAAGGCATGCACAGTATTGCAAACAGTTGTTAGGAATATCCATGTCCTAGTTATACCTCAGCACCTTCTTCAGAACATCACACCTTTCTTCACAGACTTTATTTCACTCAATATTTTACGCAGAGTGTAAATCACCATGACGAATCACCCCTCAATTTGTACCCCTCATCTCCACGTCAACAGCCGGAACTCTGGTCCATTTTTGATCAGCTCACACTCAGATGACAGTGATTCATTCTGTCGCTCTGCTCCTTGCACTATTTATCCTGTGCAGATTGATCTTCCTAAACCACTGGCTTGCTCAAGAAAATGCAAGGGCCCCCCATTGTCTACTAAGAGTTAAGCCTCGCCTGACTTTTAAGACTCTCTAGAGTCTTTCTTTTCTGGGGAGCCCCTAATAGATACTTTATAATTCTCATCATTCCCAAATTGACGTCACATGTGTGGACTCTTTTCGTTGCTACATACCATGCTCTCTTCCTGGAATGGTGAGCACCCGTTTCCTGCCTCATCTGTCAAGTCATTGAATTCATTTGGCCCAGAACGAGTGAGTGCCCCCTCCTCCTCCAGAATCTGGCTGGCCCACGGCTTTGTTTTCAGAAACATGAGTGCCTTCTGCCTCCATTACTTGACCATTAGCTTGATGCCTTGTGAAGTCTAACATCAGCTGCATCACCCCCACCCAAATTATCTCCCTCCCGCATCCATACTTACTCGCATAGGGCCAGGATGACAGTAAGCATTTTAAATATTTTAAAAAATAAATGATCAGAATTTCTTGGGGGCTAGATAGTTGGGGTACAATCCCATGCAAAAAAAAAAACATGTTTTATTGTCAGTATTTTTGTGGCTAACACACCACAGGGTACCAACTCCTAGTAGAACCTTCCTTTACCTGAGTGGAAGGAAGGCCCAAGAGTGTCAGGAGAGTACATTACCTTGCTTCCCCTCACCTTGTTTGTATACACTATTTTCTTCCCCTTTCCTTTTCCCTTGATATACTCTTTCCCAGCTTTCAATATTAATCCTGTGTGTTATCATCCTAGTGAGTCTGCCAGATCTCACCTCCCATTGTCACTCGATATTGTTTGGAACAAAACAAAACATGCATGTAAAAGTTAACACAATTATCCAGTACATATATGACCTGATTGCTTTGGGAATATAAGTCTCACCCCATCTGTGGACCATGGCCTGCCTTGAATTGGCCCTCCATGCTGCTTTCTCATTGTCAGGGGGAGGTGCCGGCTCTGAGCTTCTCTTTCTAGCTCTTCCTCCACAGGACGTGCTGGCATTCTGCCTTCATCTGATCCCACCTGTGGGAGCATCATTACCATGGTTAAAATGTGAGCTTATTCTTTGGTCACCCAGGATAATGTCTGGCCTTAAGGTATTTCAGCCATTGCTTTGTGTCCTGCACACCTGACACATATTTGTGTAGCCTTTGCTCCTCAAGGTGGATCCTCTTTCTTATTTTTCCCCCCAGATGGAAGACACTGAAAGTTCTTTGGGCAGAATAAAAATTGCTAATGATATATAGGATGTCCCCGCAAAAGGTAACATGCAATTTGAATAATTATAAAGGCAGCGTTTATTAAAATACATTTCATTTTCAAAATTGAGCTATCAGCTGAAGTGCGCATACATTTTTTTGGAACACCCTGTATATGGCTAATCAACTTCAGGGTTTGGGTTCTCTGCTCTAGGCAGCTGATTCCTAACTCCGGTCTCCTACCTTAACCCATTGTACGCTATAAGCATCTGTAGACACAAGCCACAGACCTTCCCCACACGCTATGTACGTCTATACAAAAAAAGTTTTCCCTAAGTGGCAGCCCTGACCAACTTTAAAATCATTTTTTTTGTGTGTGTGAGAATTTTCAGCTGAAAATATTCAAGAATAACTGAATTGTGAGTAATATATTTATTATTATAATATTCATTGCAAATGGATTTTTTAAAATTCAATTCAAAATATTGTGGCGTGTGGGGATGGTTTCCGTTTTGGACACATGGTAGTTAACTGGTTAAAGGCAGAACAGGAGCCCAGGCCTTCCCAGATAGCACAGGCAAGCGATAAACTCTTTCTAAGCGAATAAATAAATGAGTGAGTGAATGGATACATGCATGAATAGAAGACATCCAAGGCTCCTGTGACAGTCCAAACTGTCCACATCCAGTAATCCCAAATCCAAAGCAACAGCATTTCCTTGGAAGGACAATATATATGTAAATAGAGCCATCACATTTAGAATGTCAGGCCTCAGAGGGCTCCTCCAGAGCTTACAAAGGCCACTTCACACTTCTCCATGAAATTCCAAAACTTGACAGCTTTCTTAATACAGTAGTGGTGAGGAATAAAAACTTCAAAAATTATGCTACTTGAAAAAATGAAACTATTTACTGTTCAGAGGAAAAATATGAATTTAACCACTACTTGGCAGCTATGGAAATGTAAGGCGGAGACACAACAGCAATTTAAATGTAAATAGACCTTTAGGTATGCAGACAAGGGACCGGCCACCCCCACTTAAGCCTAGTGCTGTGGGACCTTGGCCACTGCAGGGACTGGACTGAAGTCAGGCACTCACCAGGGCAGGGCCTGGACTCTATCTGAGACTACCTAGGTTGGCAGGATAGAACTCCAACCTCACCCCCTTACTCCCAAGGCTATGAAGGAAACACTGTAAATCAAGCATGTCAAATTCAAAGGCTAACACGGGCCAAATAAACGAGGCATGCGGCCCGCAGGCCGCGAGTTTGACCTGCTTGCTGTAAATGAATGCCTTAAGACACATCTTCGAAGGAAGTGAGCACTCAGGGAAGTCTAGCTTCATAACCTGAAAAGAGACATCACATGGGACCTCCAGAAATAAAATGTATAAACAGCACTGTGCTTGGTGCCCACTGTGTGTCCTCACTGTGAGTGTTAACTTGAGATGGGCATACATGTCCGTATGAACACTCACATGCCAGAGCGCTACTAGTATGCCTTGAAAATACATCCTATTCCACAAGCCTCGCGCATTTCTGGTTAATTTTGTAGATGGAGATGGCCAGGCAGGACTCCTTGCTGTACCATCGTACGCTGATTAGTCTACCATCCTTGCAGGCCTATTAGCCCCTCCTTAGCTGCGGGCATCTGCTGCCCCAGGGCCTGGCAGTGTAAGCGAGGGTTGGTGCCAGTCCCTGTGGTGACAGGGCTGTTCACAGGCTCCCTGACATGAGCTGGCAGACGTTTCGGGGCTGGGGGTAGGACTGGATGACCTCTAAGTTCCCCTCTAACTGTCCGACCCTGTGGCAGACTTAGAAGCCATGACACAGTCTGCAGTATTAAACCGTCACCCCGAGCTGTCACTGTAAAATCAAGCCCTTTGTGGGTCTCTCCCACTTTGTGCAGAATGTCCGTCCCAAATGGGTAGCATGTAGATAGAAATGTGAGCCATCAGCTTTGTTCTGTTTTTGTTTTTTTAAATTGCACCGTAGCATTAACATATGTGAAGCACATGACTACGTAAGAAATCCTCCATACACAAAATATCATAAACATTTCATAACTGCAGCCCAAATGCTCTGAAGCTCCAGGCAGGAGTAAGCCAAGCTTACATTTTAGAGGAATATCAAAGTCAGTGAAGCAAACCGAAGAAGCTGCCTCTGGATGTAAAATTGGGGGCACAATTCCGTTCAATGCAATTCCACAAAGATCTGTTGAGTATCTCCTGAGTGCTGGGCACCGAGCTGGGTTTCTGTTCCCTATGAAAGGTTTAGGGATCGGTGCTCTCCAGATGGTTTTCATGGAGATGGTGAGAGGTGGGTCAGAGCAAGAGCACAAAGAGGCAGTTTTCCAGTCAAGGATGATCACTACGAAGCTACCATTTACTGACGGTTGATCGTATGCCAGGGCTTATGCCAGACGCAGCATTGCACATGTTTACAAATGTTTGTGTATATAATTTCTAACCTTGCAACAGCTCAGCAAAGGTAGTTATTCTTACTTCCTGTTTTATACATGTGGGGAAAGCACATCTCAGAAAGGTTAAATGACTTGACCAAGGTCACGCAGCTATTAAGTGCTGAGCCAGATTTTGAAAACATAATTGTCTGACTTAAAAGCCAGCAGGCTCTGAGAAATGACACCTACGTAAGACCACATCTCACCATCTCCCATAACGGCCATTCATACTTGGCAGAAGGGATGAGGGAGGAGCTCACAGCAGCCTGTGGCTCTTGGCGAGAGTGGCTTCCCTTGCTCAGCGCCCCCTTCTGCAGTACAAAGCCAGGCACCTCTCCTTGCTGTCCTAAGTGGGCCAGATGGGTGATCCCGGCAGGAAGTGCGGAGACACCTTTGGAACCTGGCTTGGAGCAGTGTTAGACTCTCCAAGTTGTCAATTTAGGTCAAATGTTTTTCAACCACCTCCCACAAAGCCTGTCTTTCTGTGTAAGTCAATTTGATGACAAGTGCAACCTGCCTGACCTGGACTCTCCCACAGCCCTGAGTGGGGCCCATGTACCCTGGAGCTCAGTTCCTGGTCGGTGGGCAAAGCTTGCCTGGGAGTGTGACTTTGAAAAGGTGCTTG